TGTAGAGGGCCAAGGTTTCATATCAACTTCATTCAAACGTTGGCACTTGCAGAGACAGTTCAGTTTGTTTGATATTTTTTGAGGGTTGATATTTTTTGAGGGTTTTTAACGAGTTGTTTCATTAGCGACTTCGAGATTTGTTATGCAAGTCTTTTCGTTTGTTGTGTGGTCATAAGTAATATTTGAACATGTAATAAATAGATAAATAAAAATCGATTGAAGAAATAAGATGCTGCTCCAGGGTGAAGCAATTACGATGGGTCCTTAAACTCGGCAGCAGTGGCATATGACGTCATATCCTGAAGGCGATGAGAGAGTGAAGAATCCGCTTATGATGCAAATTTAAGGAATAGCTGCGAGACTTTCATCAACGATGGCATTTTGCAATGAAAAGTTTGCTGAAATAGAAATGAGCAAATGACTTTTTATATGCTCTCCCCCGTATGTGTTAGGTTGCCCGGAAATTAATGTCTCTCCTGCGACCCCGCTCCTCGGTGCACTTTCGGAGAAAAATGCGTTCTCGGATACTGTACTGTTACACATATTTGGGATGTTCACTTTCCGCGATACCACATCCAATATCTAAGCCTTAGCACAGCTTGGATTTCAGGCGAAATTTCCAGCTCAGAAGTGGATACATCAGAACACCAAATTGACTGATCTCTTCTTCTCCCTAGCGTTAGTCCCGCGCAGTCGCAGGGTCCGCTGTCTTTGTCAGTCGTCGCCACTTTAATCTGCTCCTCTGCTGTGGCCATGACTTCACTTAGATCCTTCTTGATCACGTCTCTCCACCTCTTCTTTGGGGCTCCTCGCGGTCGCTTGCCTTGCACTTCGAAGTCCATCGCTTTCTTATCGGATGATCCTGTGGCCTCCTTAGCACATGCCCATACCATCGCAGACGCTGTTCCTCGCCTTCAGCTGGACAGGGGCAGTCTGCATGACCGCTCTGACATCCTCGTTTCTGACCCTGTCCAGCCGCGTCCAGCCGCAGGCCCACCTCAGCATCCTCATCTCAGCGGAGTGAAGCTGCCTTTCGTGATTCTTGTTCAGGGGCCAGCACTCGCTGCCGTATAGCATCGCAGGCCTTACCACTGTCCGGTACACCTTCCCTTTGAGCGCTCTGGAGCACCTTCGATCGCAGAGGATTCCAGTGGACTCCCTCCATTTCATCCATGCAGCGTTGACCTGAGCCACACTACCGACGGTTGCCAGATCACCCCAAGGTATCGGAAGTCTTTCACCCTTTCGGTCAGATAAAATGGTGGGACCAGCACCAGTTCTTCAAACCTTTTGCTGGTCTCACCATAGCCGTCTACGATCGGCTCTGCACCCTCTTCAGAGCTCAGGAACTTGGTCTTCTTGACATTCAGCCGGAGCCCACCTTCTGCCAGGACTTTCTGCCATTTCTGCACCTTGGCTTGAAGTTCCTCTCTGCTATCCGCTATCAGGCGATGTCGTCAGCGTAGAGGATGGTCTTCAGTGGTCCTTCCATGAGCCCCTTCACCAGGACATCTAGTGTTAGGAGGAAGAGGAACGGGCTCAGAGCTGACCCTTGGTGCACCCCAACCGTGATGTTTATCGTGTTTTGTATGGCATACGTCGAACGAAACGTCAGCTCATAATGATCCATACGAGGAAGGGACGGGGTGGTAAAAAAGAAGAGTGGATCAGGTAACAGCTCCATTCTTGTGGTAGTAGACTACGGATGAGGAAGTACATTGCTATGAAGTAAATTCCTTGGCTGCACCATCGAGCTTTCGACAATACAGAGTAATGTACTTGCAGGAATTGTATATTCTAGCAGAGTTTATGGTCAGAGGATGGATCCCTCTTAGCAAGCAGAAAGCAATTTTCCTGCGGTCTCTAAAGCTGAGGCCAAATATGTATGGGCATTAACTGGGTGGGTTCACCCAGTGAAATCGTTTACATACATGGTATACCACTCAACATGCTTCGACCTAATTTTCTCTTGGAATGAAGCCAGCCCTTATCGGCGATTAGATATCAATGTTGGGTCTGACCTATGAAAGACCGCTGTTCTACTTTTAACCAGTTTATTGAGATGCGTATAAGAGGGAAGATGACTGCATTGCATACCTGGGAGCAATCGCTTTCTGGGTTCACGGTGCTAGTGAAGCAGGGGCCTAAAACTGGTGCTGTATTAACCATTTCTTGTTTTCTGACTCAAGCTCACATATAACAATGTCTTATAATTGACTGTGTAATTCTTCTGCTTGTTTTTTCGCCAAAGTAATGTTACAAAGAGTTTGTTCAAGCAAGGTTGCGGAATGAGCCCTAAAAACCTCTTCGTGAGCGATGAGCGGGGTCTCCTGAGCGCAGGGGTCACATAGTGACACTGCTACGACATAAATGTCCGAAACCGAGGCGCCAATGGCTTTCCCTGACCACTGCGACCGCTGCCATTCGTTTAATGTTGCACCACGAGGTGTCTGTGCCCTCTCGTACGAAGTGCTCTTCCGCGATTCCCTTTTTTCGCACGCTGTCACTCTGTGCTGTACTACGGTAGACCTCACAGGGAGGAGGCCCTCGAATCAGTGTTTTCCATGTTTTCTTCATTTTTTCTTACAAAGTTCTCTTCGCACTTTCTCCATTTTCAAGCGGAATTACACACAAATTTGATCGCAGCTCGTTCCTTTATGTTTTTCACTTATATGGAATTTCGAAGGTATCGGAGTATGAATGAGGCTCTAACCATTGGATCCAGCGTCAATTACAGCCGATTGTTGATGGACTTTCGCAAGCGAGGCTATTACTGATGAGCTTTCGAAAACTTTTTAAAGGCAAAAGTCGGGCTCAATAAGGGGGTATTATGGCGATTGAAACTGAGTATAGAGATGCGAAGTGGAACGACAGTGGAGAAAAAACTGAGAAAAACCGTCGACAAGGCCGTTAACAAAACCCTCTTTCCCACTAGCAGTGAAGGAGGCTGGCTTGGGAAAGAGGCACGTACAAACAAGTTTTCTGGAGATATCAGTCGTTCTATCGGTTGATACGGCAATCAACCTAGCTGATTTCACACGTTATGCCAGCCACGCACCACTTCCCGAGGTGGGCGGTCGAGCGGGGCCAGGCGGCGATAGCGCTTAGTACGTGCCCTGGGGCCTTATTACGGCGCCGTTTGGGATTCTGAGCATGGTAACGTCTCTGTGGGTGCGTAGCCATGCACAAAGACGACAAAAGGGATTGGTTTGGTCACTGAGCCCGACCTTTGCCTTTAATTTGTTTGATTCTTCTGGCGATGTTAACAATTGTAGAGAAAAATGAAGAACCTTTGCGATGTGGACGCTTTTGAAGACACGCTCCGGATTAGAGGCGCTCGCCCGTTCCATCCCGGAGGTAGTAGGACAGACAAGTTGATGTCGCGCCCCTTTTGCCGCTTGAAAGTGCGCGACAAAGGCGCAAGGAGCTCGTCCGACCCGCAACCAGAGTCAACCCTACGTTGCTACAAGTAGCAAGGGGGGTCGTATTTCTGTTGTAAGAAGCTGCATGTGATGAGCTATCCCCCGCTCGACGGTAATTTTTTGGGGTAAAAATTGTTTTGAAAGAGGGGGTCGTATGAAACATTTCATGAGGGAGGGGGGTCGTAAAAACTTTTTGAAAAGTAGCAACGATAGGACCGACCCTGCCCGCAACCCACACCTTCGTCCGCAAGCCCCACCCTCCGCTGTCGGTTGCCACGTGGCGCTGCTTGAAAAGCGCGGGCGCATTTGAGGCAGCGGTCCCATTGCGACCCAATGTCATTGGCACTGGAGCAACTAGAGTTAGGTTCGTGAAACTCGTCCAACGCCCCTTCTCTATCCCAAGGTGGAATGCGGCTGAAATAGGGGAGGTCTCTGCGGGGCGTAATCGGTGGTTTCGTTTGCTTTCCTTCTCTTTTACAGACCACCTCCCACCTATAGCTTCATAACTGAACGCTTTTCCACACCTATTTTATCCCGAATCTTGCCTTAAGGTGTGCTCTTCGTGGCTCTAGACGGGGACGCACTTGTAGCGCTTGAGTCTGTAAATTGAAAGGATAGTTTTATTTACTTAATCAAGAATGCTCTCTGTCGCAGTAATGTTATGACTTACTCCTCTGAGCAGCTTTTGCTAGCTGGTTTTCGGGAGTATTAATAGACCGAGACTAGTTAAGACTTTCGGGAATAAAACACTTGCACTGGAAGTCTATTTCTTGAGGGAAATTCTCGCGCTCAACCGTGCGTTGGACAAAGTCCAACGAGGGGTGAGGGGGGTCGTATTTGGGGTGGAAAAAAAGGGGGGGTATTTCGCGAGGTAGCGTTAATGTTACAGTAAGGGAAGTGATGATGCAGTTGGTTGGCGCGCTAAAATTTTGCCGTTTCACGGTGTGTATAAGCCCCCTAGGAAATGTTGCAGTGGAAATAATGGTGAAATAGAGGGGAAGTGAGTGGAATGTTTGCGGTTTCGTGGTGGGTAAACGCTCCTCCGCCCGGTAGACCTGGAAAGAAAAAGTGGGCGGAGTTTGGGCTGTGTCGACTGGTCTCAGAATCGAATACTATAGAATGAGCCCCATGATGGCGATGGCAGGCGAGGGTGGTGAAGGGTTGACCCTGAGGGGTCGTATCGAGGCCCTCTAGAAGGGGGGGGGGGGGGTCGTAAAATTTTCGAAATCGGTCCAACGTGACGGTTGACCCTGCGCTGAAGCCGCAGTGCTCAGTCTTCATTGACTTTTGTAATAGCCAAAGCGGTAAAGGAATTACACACTCAAGGCTTTGAAACTGCTCGTGCTTAAATATGTTTTCTTAAGTTTCTAGCTCATAATGCATAAAATTACCGCAGCAAAGGAAGCATTCCATGTTTGGTATCGAAATTGTCATTCCCTTACAGATGAATGCAACTGTCTTCTATGGCAGGTATTTTTTGAAAATATGTACAGAATGGCTTTCTGATATTTCAGGGTCTTCTGAGGTTCTTTCCTACTTTCATTGCGGAAAGGGCAGTACTCGAGAACTGTTGAAACAATGAAATGCTCTCTGATCCTTCCGATTGCGCTATTAATCACAGGTGGTTGTTATCGTTCTAGATTAGGGCGACTGGCAAGTTTCCAAAATTTTCAGACAGTTATAGGTGTACTTTCCCAAAGGCGTCGTCCACCCGTTGTGATACGCCGTATCGTCCATAACCACTTCAATGTACGACCTTTTGCTCCACGTTTCCGACCAAGACCTCTTCCTGGACGTGGCGTCGTTGGAGCGCTGGTTGGTTTGGCAGCAGTATCGTCAGGTGAGATCAAACAGATGTTGACAGTGGAAAGTGTTTTTTTTTGAGTTTTTGCTATGCTCTGAATGAATGCAAAAATTAATGGCGCGAAGAGGTGCTTTCTCGAGAGGCGTCAATGTCAGCCACAGGTTTCTTGCCAGTGCTCCAGGACGATGGCTAAACTTGAGTGCTGCCTGAAAGTCTTATATGTACAGAAGTCTCATATGCGAAGAAAAGTAAAGAGTAACCAAGTCATAACATAAAGACGCAGGAGACGCAGATCCGCGTTATCCGCGGCTTCTTTCCAAAGTTATTGGGAGATACTCTAGACGCTGATTGGAACATCGTTTTGTCACCCAACTCAATTCCCATCAAAGAAATGTTCCACAAGAACTCTGTTCCTTTTCCCACATGGCAGTAAGATCATGGGCAAAGTTCCGAAAATAATTGGAAAAAGTCAACTAGATTACCGTTACTGGCACGAAGGACGCCAGTAGTGGTCCTTGAGTTATGACGGCGGAGAGGACTCATGGAATGAAGTGAAAGCGACTCATGGAACATTGCGAGTTTGAGCACATGTAAGGTTTCGCGTAGCCTAACATGGAATTCGCTCAGGTTTCCGTTCTACACTTCTTTAAAGGAATCTTCCACGGAAAAAGCTCCGCCCTCATTACCACAGAAAACGATACCTTAAAGGAATCTTCCACGGAAAGAGTGATCATTTTGTCTTGTGTGTAGGATTAGTATTATCGAAACTAACGCTTATGTTCCGTTCTTTTTGCTATGCTCATGAGGCTAGGGGCCTAAGGGGTATCGTTTTTCTGTGGTAATGGAGGCGGAGCTTTTTCCGCGGAAGATTCCTTTAAGTATTAGCTCCACGCGGCAAAGTTGTGAAAGTTTCACGGCGGAAATTCAGATTACCTACCTGTGGTTAGCTTCTCTGATTGATTATTGAAGTTATTGCTGCTTTTTCTCGTTGACATCATGAAATACAGCTTCTAAAGTGCACGCTGTTCTCGTGGTCTTTTCCTTTGTACATTCTAGTGTCTGTTCTATTCTAATGACAAATATGGCGCACATCGTTGGAGTCGGACAAGGCTTACCGTTCCTTCTATGTCTCGCAGAGGCAGAGGAAGATGTCGCAGAAATAACAGGAATACGAATATCTCAAACTGGACAGTATTCCACATTGAGAAAACTTGAAGAGCGCGTGAATGGGTAAAATGCTGAGCAGCTAGGAATACGTTCACAACGCGCCACGACTTTGACATCTGGGCACATTGTACACTAATTTGTATTGGCATGCAAGCAGACGGATAGATTCATTGGTATGAATAGTTGATCCCCAAATCCATCAACCGCCGATGTTAAGTTACATGTAGCCACGGCTTACAAGGAGAGGATAGTGGGTCTAAATGACCGATTAAACTGAGATCACCTGTGCGCTTCCAGACGCTGTCTCCAAATGTGCCTTCAAATCTGCTGAACGATGCTGTGAATAAAATTACGAGGGTTTTCTTCCCGCAATGGTGTGATGGTCTGACGGTTGCAGAGGCGTATTTGCAGGACGGACGTCAGGAGATCGGATCCGCTCGTTCAGTAATCTTTTCTTTTTTAATGGATCGAGGTGTTTTCTCGCCAACTACCCTTTGTGACAAATTTCTAGCGATATCGAAAATTCAACTTCTAAATGTTTCGAAAATGATGGGGTCACCATAAATAGTATGGCAGCTTATGCCTTTTACATCATCCACGATACAACTTTCGTGGGCCATGGAACTCTAATCAATGGATTGAATCTCCATGTATAGGGGCAAAAGAAGGCCATCATCATGAAAATAACCTTCGTTTTGGCCACCATCATAAAAAACCTTCGCTCGCCAGAACTTTTCCTAACATCGACCGCTGTCCAGGACTACCGCGTCCCTGCACTTTTCCGAAGTGAAGGTGAAAAACCCCGTTCTTCTGGCAATGTGTTCCCATATAAAGCTAGGGCTCGTGAATACGAATATCGCACTATTCAGATGCGAAAACGCCAAGCGAGTGCGTTATGGAGCTAGTACTTAAGTCCTCGCTGGGGCCACTCAACCACGCAATGTCCCTCATGAGGGGGTGAATACGTGGTTTGCATGCCAAATGATTATGGGAGTCTTCCTAAGCATGCCATTTAAATTCGTTTACAGCAAATTCGAAGGGTAATTTGTTTGGTGTGTAGAAAAAAGGAGGATCAGACAAACCCACAACTGAACTATTTGAAACGGTTCAATTTCTTTGCGAATTGCCGTTTTTGCCAAGAAGGTTTCTAAACGAGCAGATGTGGTTTGTAAACGGACTGACAATGAGCATTTATCCGAAAAAGTGCAAAAAACCCTGCACATTAAGAACACAAACCCTTGTCCTCCCAGACACCAGGCGGGCGTAGCTTCCACTAGGCCACCTATCCACATCCAATGATGCATGCGTGTCATATTCGTGCTGAACTTGGTCTGCTCCGTATCACAACAAGCTCTGTAGCTTTGTTCAGAGAATCGTTCAGAAGATATGGAGTGCAATTTTGAGGTCCAGGTTTGAAGTTCTCTCACGTGCTATGCATCTCAATTCAAGGTCGCATCACCCTACTAAGCTTCCCTTGTTAGTGTTCTTCAACAGCTGTGACGACTTTGAAGAATTTTAGTCTAAAAAAATGAGGATATCTGAAATCCTTACCCTTTTAGTCCTTTCGTCAAGATACGCTCCATACTATCCGCCGCCATTGCCACCCTACTACGGCTACTACAGGCAGCAAATGAACTCCCATGCACTTCGTCATGGCGAGGGTGAAGCGAGGAAATAAAGTGAGTGTGTCAGACTCGACGAAACTATTCATACTTTCAGAACGCTTTTCCTTCAGTTAAAGGTTTTCGATTAGCGCAGTGTTCCACTCTTCATGTTCATGTTTAACTGTACTGTTTTAGGTGCCTTCTGCCATCGCCTTGGAAACTGAAAGCGTACTGTACGTAAAAGGACTGCCAATCCCTTCAAATAATACTGCAATAATGGTCTGCCTGAAAGTTGTTATAAATAACTACTAAGTATTGTGTGTATGCAATGATACGATAAGTTAACATTGTTCTACCCCGGCGTCTCATGTTAATCTGAATGTGTAAAAGACAAGCTCTACTTTAAAACATTTATGATATGACTCAGAAACGTTTCACGACGACATATACAAACTCTGCAAAAGACTTTCTAGAGTTCATAGGCTTTTAGCTCCTGGCGCCTTGTCAAGCCTATGATAGGGTTTTATAGTGAGATTTCACTTTCCAGCTAGCATAATGTAAGTGTATTAACTGAATAATCTACTACCATTAAAAATGTGAATTTTACTGGACTGTTATTGGAACGGGTATTGGTATACATATGGAGGCCCGAGTGGGGTGGAGGGGGGTGGTGGAGATGCAAAAAAAGCACTCCCTAATCATAGGGGGCATTTAAAAAGGGAGTCTTGCAGGAACATATTCTTGAAGTTATCTCAAGCTATTAGACGCATGACCTTGCTGCCCTCGCCACCTCAGAAATATGAAGTCGCCTACCATCGTCGACGGGCTCAAAGAGAGTCCTCGTAATTGCTTCAATCCAAGGCAATTGCATAGTTCGTCCATCAGCTCATTGACGGGCAGATTTCCACGGCCGTGCCTCCAATCGTGCAGGATTTTAACCACTGAGTATAACCATC